GTGTGTGTGTGTGTGTGTGTGTGTGTGGCCAGCTCAGCCCACCAGGGGGCGGGGCTGGCTAGCATGTGGTGCTGGGGGATCGAACTGCTTCGCCAAGCCTGCTCCAAGTAGGTGCTATAGACCACTGAGCCATCTCACCAGGCCCACTCCTCTTTCTTTAGAATGTTGGTTTTCATTTTTATATTTGCTACTTCATGGTCACAAAATGGTTGCTACACCATCAAATGTCACACCTGCATTGTAGGCTGTAAGGACGAGGAAGAACAAAAACCAGTATGACCTGTCATTTATTTCTATGTATCTTTTTTATTACTGCAAAAATCTCCCCTTTAAACTTGTAAGATAAAAATAAAATAAACTTGTTCTGTTTTTGCGGAACCGGGGATTGAACTCAGGCCCTTCTTCTTCTTATCCCTACTGAGTTATCTCCCCAGCCCAGTAAACTTGTAAGAGAAATGTTTTCACCAGGACCACCACCAAGCCCCTCCAGGAGACTTCTGCAGACACCCCGCTGGACAGCACTCAGTCAGGTGGCCACGTCCAGACGCTGTGTGAGTGCACTGTTTTTCTGCAAAGGAGTTCTCAGTATAGGGAACCCAGCTTTCCTACTGGGCAGTGAGTCTGCCTGCGGGCTACGCTGTCCTCCTGCACTAGGCAGTAAGCTGCCATTTGCTCCAAAAGGAGAGACAATTGCTGTGGTCCAGGCTACTTGGGAACAGACTAACCTCCTTGCAACAGTAGTGCAGCACAGGGGCGGGCAGCAACCAGCTCACAAGACGTGCAGAAATGCAAGACACGGGGGTGGGCGAGTCTTCTCTCAGCACAGCCCACAGGCCGGGGAATGGGGGTGGGTGTCTCCCCCTTCCTGGGCCGCGTCCTGCTGGCCGCTGTGCCTGCCCATCCTCCACCCCTTGGCGCTGTCTCCAAGCGCCTGTGGAGCCTGGCCCATTGCAACTGATTTCCTGACCCCCTCTCTCGGACTCCCTCCCCCACTGGGCTAGTTCTGTCCCTTTCCTACCACTCCCTGCCACCCTACATCCAATCAGACTCCCTAACTCCATCCAGGGATCACCAGCCTGCCAACTTCCTCCGACCTCTCCCGCAAGTTCACTCCAGCGCTGTCGCCTCCCCTCACCACCACCAGTAACGGAGCAGTCCCTGGCCCTTGTCTTCATCTTCCTCCAGCCTTGCCCCTCACCCAGCTTTGCTTCTGAACTTTCTTCAGAACGATCTTTTATGGTTTCAATGGCTATCTCTCTAAAATTCACCTTGGTTACAGTAATAAGCGTGGGCTCTGGGAGGAGGCCAAACGGGGTGCATGGTTGACCGGAGGGGAGGACAGCCTTGTGGCATCTGGGAAACTCCGCTTTAAGGACCCTTCTTCGAGAGGAGGGCTAACTACGGTAGCGCTCCGCACTGTCGCGGTCCTGGTGGCTCCAGTCTACACAGAGAAACCTGGGAACACTCTGTGGCCAGCCCAGGGCTGACACCGACCAGAACTGTTCTCAAGCAAGAAGAAGCTTTCTTAACAAACCCACAACCCTAGACACGGTGCGAATGGGGAGATCCCTGACCAAGTCCAAACCCAGCGAGTGCTCTCCACCATCTCTCTAGGACGCTGCTGGAGGTGGTGCTGCTTGTCAGGGACCCCTCAACCGCACGCTCCAGGCCTGGCTTTGGCTCTCAGCAGAGTAGGTAAGAGTGGCTCTTCTCTGGCAGTGGGACCCCAGCCACACAGGTGGCCCTGCTCCTCTGGTACCTGATGTATTCCTGAAAGCAGTGCGCCAATTTCCACTTGCCCATCTTCACCTCATTCCTGAGCACTCCAGTCCAGAGTTTGCAAGCGGCCCTGGAATCCTCTTTGCTTCCAGATGGTGACTAGGCCAAGGCTGAGCAGCAGCTGCCCAGCCCTGGGGCCCAGCCTGGGGGCTCGAGTGCTGGGGGTACTTTACCATCTCTCCGCTCCAAGTTAAGCCTATAAAGGAGCACCTATTCCTGTAAAGAGAGGTTCCCCCAGACCCCCCACGTGCCCCCTAGGGTTTCTTCCCTGGGGCCCACCAGCCACGCAGCCCCAACACTTTTCCAGAGGGCCTCTGGGCAGCCGGCAACTTTACTCCAGTGGGAGATTGCTCTGGAGTAATACTAAGTTTCTGCAGAGATTGAGGAGAGGGAGGAAGAAAAAGGGGAAGAAGGAAAGTAAGACGTGTTTTGGACGCGTATCAGTTCCCCTCAAGGAAAGTGAACACTGACTATACTACACACATGTACTAATAAATAGAATTAAAAAGTCTATGCACAGGGAGGTTTGCCACAGTATTATTTGTAGTAGCAATCATCAGCGGGGGCAGAGTTCTCCTGTTCAGTCCAGCCCCTGCACAGCCCTCCTAAAACACAGCTGTGCGTGCCTGCACGTGTGGGAAGACCTCAATACCGACTGGAGGACAGAGGCCACAGCGGAGTTTTGACCACTTTATACATCATGTTTTACGAATAGATCAATAAATACCAGGCAGTCAGCTAGAATCTGAGTAGTCACCCACGCTGTGGCCAACAGGATGGCACCCAGCACAGGACCTGCTCAAATGATGATTTCAGGTTGTAATGCTTACAGACATGTGGGATCGCAGATAATCCACATCCTACGAATCAGTCCTGAAAATTACGTTTTTATAATGGGCGAAGAAGCACCTGGTTGAACTCTTGGGAGCCACACGAGTGACCCTCTTGTGGCCCCTTTATGTTTGTTAACTGAAAATATCACTCCTTCTGCACTGATTTATGTTGTACAGTATGCTGAGGAGGCAGGAAGAGGGCTGCCCCTGTGTGATGGTGTTCTGGACACTGAAAAGTCTGGGTAGAAAGCATGAAATGAAATAGCCTGTGCTGGGACCAGGGATATGGCTCTGTGGAATAAGTGCTTCCCTGGCAAGCGCAAGGGTCTGAGTTCAATCCCTGGTTTTGATACAGGGAGAAAAACTGGTCTCAGGTGGGTGACCTCCAAACCATAAGGGAACCTCCAAATGACATAGAGAAAAACAATCTCTGGACCTGACCGGCACGAGTTCGTGTTCTCTAAAACCGAAGAATGAATTTTAGGAACAAATGGAGGTTATGAGCAGAATATATTTATTGAGAGAAAGAAAGCTCCCAACAGAGGGACAGGAGGGGGGCCCGAGCTGGTAGTTCCCCGGGAAGTTGTCTCTTCCAGGGACTTTTATAGTGTAAAACCATGTGAGGCTAAGGTAGAGAGAATGGGAACTCACTTAGGTGGGCAGGAGGTGGGACAAAACTATGGTCAACCAATGGGATTACATATGGGACAGGGTCTCTTTCTGTTGGGGGTTGGGCTAGTGACTCATTTGGGTCTTTCCAGGTGATTGATACCTATTAGAATATCAATCCCAGGTGCTACTCGTTTAGCATTTGTTTGGCCTTTAGGTCTTTAGGGCTGGTTCACAGCAGGAGCATCCGCCCCTCCCACAG